TTCAGGAGTCACAAAAAGACAAAAAGAACAGAACAGAGTCAACAACAGACCCAGAAAGTGGTCTATGACAGAGAAAATAATAAACTATTAAATGAGAAAATAATAAACTATTCATTAAATGATAATGAGATAAATGGTTTTTGTAATGAAACATAGTTGGACTCATGCCTCATACAATACAGAAATGTAAACATCAAATGAGATCTAACCCCCCCAAAAAAAATTTCCCAGTTAAAAAAAAATACATAAAGCATAGATAAGGAAACTCAAAAGTCAAAATATATAAAGAAGATCACCTCTAAGGGAAATGCAAAATGAATGAGCAGTGAAATACTTTCATTCCATGCTTATCAGATCAACCAGACCTACAACAGTCACATTCAGACATGGGAGTACAAGGAACTCCAACAAACTGCAATGGGAGTGTGAAGTGAACCAATCTCTAGTCTCTTGGGAATGCAATCTGCAAAACCCAGTAAAGCTAAGGCACAGCCAGAGGTCGACAGAAGCACATCCACTGGTTGGTTATTCAACTTCTGGGGATTCCTACCTTGTGCTCATACATTTCTATAAGATCTTATCAAAGATATTCACTGTGCTTTTTTTATAATAGTGAAAGGTGAAGATACCTTAATGTCCACCGACAGGGAATGTTTAAGCGCTGGTATATCAAAGGAATGAATTAACTACAAAGATCAACAAATGTTATCAACACTTGTAAAAGAAATGTTTAGGTGAAACAAGATCATGAAAATAGATACAGCACCCCTCTATTACATAAAATTGTAAGCAGGAAAGAAGACAACACACGCTGATGGGCACATACTCAGTCTCAACATTGCAGATTGTGTGGACTCAACCCCAAGTTCTCATCCTTCACTATCTGGATTCTATGCTTGCTCAAGGGAGAATTTTCTATTTTCAGCAATCCCATCCTTAGACTTAAGTGGCTGCTGCATGTTTAATACTAGACTAGGAGCCAGGAAGGACAAAAGAATTATGCAAGACTTTTCCAGCCTGCAGAAGGGTACAACTCAGCAAGGGAAGCTGTCTCAGTCTTAAAGAATTGGCTTTCAAATCTTGCTCTGGCTCACAAAGTACACAAGCTTAGAAAAAGAGCATAGTTTTCAAGGCTCAGATCCTTTATCTATAAAACGGAAAAGCCGCCTACCTCCAAGTGTGAAAGAGTAAATGAGACAGTGTATGTGTGTGGGGGGGAGGGCGTATAACACATAGCAAACATATAACACTCCTAGTGATTGTAGGCAAGGTTAGCCACCAAATGAATACAGCCTTCTAAACAGTATCTCAGTCATGCTGACAGTGAAAGAAAATAGTGATGGATTGACAAGGGCATAGGATAGGTCCTATTAGCCATCTCCAACCTAGAGAGAGCTTCCCTATCTCCTCCTGGTGACTTGGGCCCACCCCGTGATATTCGTGGGGCATTTCCTCCAGCAACAGTGTGGCTATGGCCAGACCGACCCATGTGTCTAAGTTCACCATGGACAGACAGTGCTTTGTAAAGAGCTACCAGTCTCAGGAGAGAAAACTCCATCTCTTAAACTGTTTGGGAAATTCTGGAGTAAGATGTAACACATCTAAGTTAATTTTCTAATTGACCCTCTTCAAAATCCCAAGGACCGACAGGTATGGTGATGTACACCTGTAATTCTAGTGTTTGGGGAGGCTGAGGCAGGAGGATCACGACTTTGTGGCCAGCCTCAGAACCTAGCAAGACCCTAAACAACTTAGCAAGACCCTGTCTCAAAATAAAATAAAATAAAAAGGACTGGGGATGTAGTTCAGTGGTAAGGTGCTCCTAGGTTGAAGCCCTAGTACCAAAAAGTAAAATATAATAAAATTCCAAGGACATAATGACCTTAGCTCCGTATTGCTAAGGAAAAGGCTAGTGTCCCACCTCCAGCCTCCTCCAACACACATCTTCTCCTGACCCACAAGCCATCTCTCTAAAGGACTGAAATAGAGTCCTGTCCATGGACATAGTAGTAGGCGTCAAGAGGAGGCCTGCCTGCCAGACACTAGAAAGCAGTATTTGAAAATCATTTTTCAGAGATACTGGGCTGTTGGATTTTATTCCTGGGATCCTTTTATGAGGGCTGGTGAGAGGATTGTTGATATTTCAGTTCTGCAGCCAATGTGGTGCCACCATGTGGCAACAGCACAAACAGTTCATAAATCACTCAGCTTTGAAATTCTGTGATTTCCCCACTGATTTTTAACTTCAAGGAATTAAAAATATGCCCATTGTGTATGTTGCAAAGGAGAACTCATTCATAGTTGTTCCTCATTCATATCACTCTATTTTGGATCTGTATCATTCTAGTTTACTCTGAAAAAGCTCTTTGGGGAATGAATTGACCTCCATTTATCAATGTCACTATTGTATCTGAGGTGGGCTCGTTACACCATCAAAGAACTAATGATCAGGGCCTTTGGGGACCACCAACTCATCTCCACTCAAACTGAATTCTTCCTTCTAGTTTTCTGAACTGACGTAGGTATGACTATCCTTGGTTTGCATTCATAAAAAGAGAAGGCAGAAAATTATCAAGAAGTCTCATTTTAACTTGAGAACTAAAATGAGAAAAGAAAATAAAACTTGTCTGACATAACTAAGCAAGGGCAATCATGCCAGTAGGAGAACTGGGCAGACTGGGAATATTTTAGTTCTGAATCTGAACTTTATCCAGGTGCTTTCCATCTGTGAAAATTCATTAAGTTATACATTGTGGAACAGGATGCAGTTTTTTTTCTGTAATTATTTCATACTTTAATATAATATTAAGACAAATTGGCCAAAGTCTGATCAGTCATTCCTCTTTACTTTGCCTTTGAGACGAGAACCAATAATAACTGGGAAGACAAAAAAAAAAAAAAAAAAACAGGGAGATAGTTAAGTTTTCTGTAAGGTACTTTTTATACAGAGTAAATCAATTGTTCTAAAAGCCAAAGCCACAGATGAGCTCTCCTCCAGTCCCTCTGGGCAGGAAAGAGGAAGACAGGGCACAATCTATTTCACTGCTAGTTTAAATTACTGAGTGTGGCTAGAACTTCATTTTCTCAAAAGTGAACAAATCCTGGAGCCAAACAACTCCTCTTTCTCTCTCTACTCCCAACCTTGTCCCATATATGGACAAATGAGACCCATCAAAAAGAGAACCCTGCCTTATAGAGATACACACCATCTCCAAAAAGACAACACACACACACACACACCATCTCCCCATCTCCCCCAGACAGTTCTCAACTCCCTAGATACAGCTTCTGGCCCACAGAGATATCCCACAGATGAGGGGGTGGGTAATTAGGTGAGATGCAGCTATCCATGGCCAGGCAAAGAACATAAGCAGGAAGAAAGCAAGCAGTATTTTCGAAACCTTAACAAAACAAATTTCTCTCAAAGGATAATTTTTTAGATCTGCAAAGAGGGTCCCGATGTCACTGTCAAGTTCCCTAAATTACCTCCATTTCCACCCCCAGCCCCAGATTCTTTGGACCATTTTCTTCCTATGTTTCAATATAACCCCAGTGAGTTTTCACACCTATCATACCCTCTGAGCCCCAAGTGCCTTGGAAAGACTAAAAACAGATATTATTTCATTTTATAAATGAAAAAGTTGAGGCTCAAAGATGCTTGTCAGTCACATCAAAAATTATCTAAGTAGTCATCTCATCACGGAATTTCAGAATTGAGGAAGGGGCAGCTGAGTTGGAGGGCCCGGATGATAATGGCAAAAGAGGTAGGGACAACCTGCTTCCCAGCCCAGAGCTGTGAAGCAGCCCACAATGCCACCAACAGCAGCACTAGAACTGCTTCCAGGAATCTGGGGTAAACAATTCACCTCTAACAGCATTTACATACTCTGGGACTGGTCCCCTCCCTCTTTCCCTGGGAAAGTGTCAAGCAAATCAACAAATCCAGATCAAGGGGTGGGGGTTGGGAGGGCAGAAATGAAGTCAGACTCAAGGCATTTTCTAGTAGCAGCTGTGAGCAAATGTAATGGAAACCAAACCCATGGCGTACCCGCTTCTCTTAGGCAGGTCCATCTAGGCCTTGTGCACTTGGAGTCTCTGGGATAGTTATCCTCAGGGACAGGCTTTATTGGGGGACGAAGGGAGGGTAGGAAGTAGAACAATACGGATCTCAACGCAGGTACCTAACAAATTCCCCTACCCTCGTCGAGACGTCAGTAAATTAAGTGACGGGAAAGAGAAGGAGTGCCCCCAAACACTGCACGTCCAGGGGTTCCCACCACTGAACCGCTCCACAACACATTCATCCGGAAGGTCCCTCGCGATTATCTGTTCTGTAGAGTCCCTGGGGATAGGTTTCCTACCTCTCCAAGTCTGGCATCTCTGGGGTTAAAGGAGTGTGAGGAAGAGACCGGGATGAAACTGAAGTAACCCCCCACCCCACCCCCGCAACCCTCAACAGCGCTTCCCTGCCCAGGCAGCCCGGGGGCGGGGCCAGATGCAATGGTCTCGAGTTCTAACTCTGCGCACCAGCCATGACCTTGGGCAGGTCCCTGATTAGCCCCATTTTACAGAAATTAAGAGTCCGAAAGAGTCAAATCCACTACGGTGGGCTGCTGCGGGGCGCTTTTTGGATGGTTTCAGACGCCCGTACCAACAGCAGGCAGCATAGTAGGTGCGCGGTGAACCGCAGCCCCAGCACTACGTGGCCAGCTGGGATCCGGAAAACGCGAGGGAAACGCAGAGGCGAGGTCCCCGCCCCAGAAGGCATAAAAAGGGGCGGTTCCGACTGCCAGGATCCCTGAGCAAGTTCAAGTCTCCCCTATCCAGCTTCTTCCTCTGCAGAGGCAGACTGGCCATGCCGGGGAGCCCTGGCTCAGGACGCCCTCGGGGTGCTGGGGAACCTGAGAGACACCTCCACACACCCACCCTAAAAGTTGCGGCAACATGAAGGGGAGAGTGGCGCAAAGCTGCCAGAAGGGAGGGGAGGGCACAATACTCACACGGACTGGCCGGCCTGGAAAAGGTCCGCGGCTGGGGTCATTGATGGCGGCCGGGTTCAGGCCACCGCGCCTCGGGATGCCCAGGGTACCTGCCGCAGCGCCGCGCGTGGATCAGAAGGCTGCGGGCAGCGAGGAAGGGGTGCGAGTCAGCCGGCAAGCCAGAGCTGGGCTGCAGCGCCGCGGGGGATCGGCCGCCAGAACCGCAACCGCAGCGGGAGCCGGGAAGCGGGCAGTAGGCGGGAGCGCAGAGGTGGCAGCGGCTGTGAGGGAGGCGCCCGCGCCGCAGGCAGTCAAGCCAGCCTGGCCGCAGCGGCCACCGACACCTGCTGGCCCGGCTGACGGCCAATCAGAGGCGCCCGAGGCGGGGGCGCGTGCGGAGGCGGGGCGGGGGCGCGTGCGGGGAGCCGGGCTGGAGAGGTGGCGCACAACCGCGCCTGCGCCGGAACACCGGGTGCCTACCCCTCGGGTTGCTCCAGAGCTCCCCAGGCGCGCGGGCGGCACGCGCCGGGAGGGGCGGGGCGCCCTAGGAGGAGGCGGGGCTGGAGCTGCAAGAACCCGGGGCGGGGACCGGAGTAGGGGCCGGGGTCCCGGAGTCCCAAGGCACGACTTCAGGACATTTCGAGCTTTCCTGTCCGCTGCCTCTGAACATTGGAGACTCAGGACCTCCGTGACCGCGGAGTGATGGGTCACTAAATCCAGGGCCTGCCTGGTTCCGAGAACACCTCGGTCTGCCGGCCCGAGCCTCTCCAAAGCTGGGGTGACCCGCCTCCTTCGACAGCTCTTCTTCACTTCATGGTCCCTGGGTATTTAAAGCCACCGTGATGACCTGATCCGGATTCCTGTCATTCTCCCATGAATTTACTGTGCTAGCGACTCTCATTCATTCAAAGCCCTTTGGTTCGCGCTTGGCTTAGGGAGCTGTCCGAGCTACTGCGTGCCCAAGTCTTCCAAAGCCCCCTCCGCTTCCGCAACACCAGGTTAGAGAGCCCACAGTGTCCGGACGCCCGGACTGCTGCAAGCGAGGAACGCACTGGGACTCATGCCAGGAGCAGCTGGTTATGGAAGAATGACAGAGTTGAAAGGTTTCACCCCAGGCCAGGGGTTCACTGCGTGTATGCATTCAAACAAGCACAGGGCCAGAAATTTTCCTGAGACCGACTGCCTCATCCCCAACAACTCGGCTGTGAAAACACATTGTCAGTTTTAGCTGCTTCTCACTGAAGAAACTTCATGAGAATAAAGCCTTTGTGGAGCTGCACTGGCGATTTCTAAATCCCTGGGAATCCTCTCAGGTCGATGGTTTCAGGCTGTTCCCTCTGTAAATGTATGCAGTAAGAATGGATGTCTCCTTTGCTGATTGTTCCACAGCAGCAAAAGGAGAAAAAAAAAAAAAACACTTTTGGGAAGGGAACTTGGAAGGTAAAGGGATTTATTTCTCTGAAGATCTGGTTTCCACCTTTAAAGGGATTTTAATGTCCCTAAACTAGTAGAGTGGAAGAAAGTTTGTTTCTAGTTTATTTAAATTTCATTTTAATTTTAGTTATCTCCATTTGATTAGTATTCACATGGTACAAAATTAAAAAGTAGAAATGGGTACCCAGTTAACAAGATTCCCTTCCATTCTTCTCCCAGCCTCTCAATTCCAGTGCCTGGAGGTAACCAATTTGTATTCTTCTAGATAAAATCTACATATACCCCACTAGATAGATTTGTTACATATTTTTCCTTTCGTTGAACAAAATGATAGCATTTACTATACAGAATATCCACAATGTTCTAGACCTTGATCATTTTTCTTAAGATATTATCAGAGAGTAATTCCATATTATTACCAATATTCTCTTGTTTGTGTACAGCTGTATAGTATTCCATTATGTCAAAATTCATGTAAGAGACCTGAATTATGGTCATTTAGATTCTCTCCAATATGCCATTAATAATAACATTGCTACAGTGAATAACTTTATTCTTATGCTTATGTGGAAGTATATATGAAAAATAAATCTCTAAAATTGGAGTCACAGGGTCCAAGGCCATGTGCATTTATGATCTGGATATCAAATGTTCTTTGTGGAGATGTTTACTCATGACCTTGATTGCCCGTTTACACATACAACCATGCTACCCCTCTGGTGATTCTGAGTCATTTGCCCTCAGATCCAGTCCTGGTCCTTCTTGCTCTGCTTTGTGGGGGCTGACTTCTAAAGGCTGCATTTTCCAGGTTTTCCTATCAACTGTCTTTGTGTTTCGAGGTCCACACAGTAGAAAAATGGAAGGAGGAAAGAAGGAAAAAGCCAGAGAATTTCTCACTGCTTTTCTTCTGCATTGAAGGTGGGCATAGAAGAGTAGTCCAGGGTTATCAACTATTCCTCCTGGGCGACTCCAGGTCCTGTAAAACAGGCTAACTATGGACCCAGCTCCTTGGGCTCTGGCAATACCTCCTCCTCTTGTCCCTCCAGCCTGGAGGTAACAGATTATCCCACAGATGCTAATCTCCAGCACTTTCTCCACTTCCAAAGAGCCTCTGGAACCTCACGTTATCTGTGTAACCAGCTCCATGTTTTAAATTCCCCTTAATTTTAAATATCTTATGTGGTTCCTGTGTTTCCAATTGTACCCTGATATAGTCTTGCTACAGTCATACACTTCTCTATACAGTGTATTATAAAACTTTCTGATCTTTGTCAATTTGGTTAGATGAAAAGGGGCCTCAGCAATTTGACTTGCATTTTTCTTATTAAAAGCAAGGTAGAACATTTTACATATGCTTAAGAGTCATTATAGTTCCTTTTTATTTTAACTCTAGGTCATATCCTTGCCCATTTCTTTAATTTTGACAGATCAATAGATTCTTAATGGAGAAACCAAGTCCTGCCAGTGAAACATTCTACAAAAACTTTTGTTGGAACCTAGGTTTTCAACAAGATTTTTACCTCAAGGAGCCTTATCTAGTCAAAAATCTGTCCATGGCTAAGGAGGAAAGGAAGAAAATAGAATATGAGTATTTGGGAGTTTATAATCCACCTGGATGGACAAAATAAACCTATGTTAAATAATGTTCATTGTTTTACATTATTGTAACCAGTAATGCAAATGATAACAAATCTGAGTGGTCTCTTCCCTACATAATGTATCATGGAATCGTTCCCAATCATTACAGAAAGTTTTCCTCTTTTTAAAATTTTTTTAAGTTGTTGATGGATCTTTATTTTATTTATTTTTACGTGGTGCTGAGGATCCGACCCAGTGCCTCACACATGCTAGGCAAGCCTCTATCACTGTGCTATAACCCCAGCCAAGTTTTCCTCTTCTTTCCCTGTTCCTTCCCTCTTTCCTTCTTTCTTTCCCTTCCCTTTCCTCTCTTCTTTTCCTTCAAGTGTATGGTATGCCATTGACGAGGCTATGTCATAACTAATTTAAAAGGTCCCAAGGACTCTTAGTTATAAGTGGCAGAAACCCAACTACTATGGCTAGGATGTTGTTTGTACCCCAAGGGTTCACATATTTGAAGCTTGGTCCCCAGAATGGCGATGTTAAGAGATAGTGGAACTTTTTTAAAGCTTGAACCTACTGGGAGGTCACTGGGGGTGCTGCCCTTAGAAGGAATTAAGTTCTTGTGGGACGGTGAGTTAGTTCTTAAGAGAAGATTGTAACAAAAAGAGCAAAACCGGTCCCTCCCCTAGATCTGGCTTCCATTCTCACCATGTGATCTCTGCCCTCCCACCACGATGCAACACAGCCACAGAATTCCTCCCCAGAGCTCAGCCAATGACAGGGTGATGCCTTGAGCTTCCAGAACTGTGAGGTAAACAAACCTTTTTTTTTCCAGAGTAATGGAAAAAGGACTGATAAACCAACTCAATCTTGGGCATAAAAATAAACATATAGGCTTATTTAAATGCAAAGTCCAAATGTATTTCTAATTTCAGGAATATTGGATTCAGGGGTTCAAAATGATGTCTGTAGAAGTAGAACTATCATCTCCCTGTTACTCTCCCCCCACCATCACCCCATCCTCTCTACTTTCCTTTGAAGGCTTCATTGTTAAGCTGACTTCATGGGTAGCATCTGGCAGTTCTAGAATTATCTATCTTTTCAGTGGTTAAGATCCAGAAACAAGGTAAGTCTTCTCTTTACCAGAGTACATGTTGCTGTCTGGAATGCCCTAAAAGTTGCCCTAGAAAACTCACTTGTCCTGCTTTAATCATGAGTCCATCCCTTGAGCAGTGTGAGGACCGGCATTCTGACTATTGGTTAATAAAGATGAAAAGATATACACAGCGGTTGAAGTAAATCAGTCAATGTGTACCATATTCATAAACACTTTCCGACACATGCCTCCTGACTGGTCAATAGTAATCTACATGAAAATGCTTAGGTTCATTTTTGTTCAAACCTAGTGAAGATCTTCTGCAGCTGGATCCCAGACACATGGTAAGTGTTTGTAGCCTGTCAAAGGGTCTTTTTTTCAAATGGACTTTATGAGGCTGTATCATGACAAGAATGAAGACTGAGTTCAAAGGTTATTTGACATTACACAGATATTCGCAAAGCTGGTTTGATATGTGAATCTGCCTCTTGTTAAACCATTAGAATCAAGCTCCTAACATCTTGCCCAAATTATAAACATATGAAAGAAAGAGAAGTACAGAATAGTTTCATGATTTGAGCAAAATCACAAATAAGACAAGAAGATACTGATAAAAACCGATAGACATATGAACGAAAGAGAGCTCCAGTTCCTAATCTACTGTATTTTAGACAGAAACAGACACCACTTTGATTCTCCACCAGAGCTAGTGTTGATTTTTTTTAAAAAAGTTCCCTGTGACAAGTTTGGCATTTGAAGATGACGTGGATAACCATAAGATTGGCAAAAGATGACCTAAAGTGACACCTCCTCACTTACCCCTATCCTGAGCAATGCTGCTGAATTCTAGTAATATCCATCCCCTCGTTTGCCTCTCATGACTCACAGGCAGTACTTGTTTTTCCATTTTCTGCATGATCTTGACCGCTGTAAGGGTTTTAATGGATTCTTCTTTTATCAAAAAGAGCTGTTTGACATTTGTGCACACAAGGAACTGCATCACATCGTCTTCTAAAACAGAAATCAGACAGTCCATTTCTTAGCCAGAAGATTGATGAGTTTATACTGGCTGGAAAATGATGAGTCTCTGGAGGATTCTGGATAGGATTAAAAGAGCATTAATCAAAAGACTGGGGTGCCAGTCTGAGCTCATCACTTCCTGTCTGTGTGACCTTGGGCAATTTACTTAGCTCCAAGGTTCCCTAAATATGAA